AAAGGAGAGTTGAGAAAATTCAATCTGTTGATTAATAGAGAGACATTCAAAACTAATATGGAATCCCACATTTTTCCTTTTTTTAGTTTGCCTTTTCTTACATTTTCTCCTTTCTCACTGTCGGCCCTTTCTTCACCTACACAAAATATCTCCAGTTCTACTGAAATATTTATTTTTCTCCAGGATCTATACTGGATATTTAAAACATGAAGTACAATGAGTTGTGTTTAAAAAAAAATTTTTTTTTAGTTTTTATTCAATAACATAATAGCACACTTAGGAACTTTGTTTTTTACATGTGCTTTTACCAAGGACACTAAATGCAGCAGGCTGGTGAAAAGAGCTTTTTAGACTAAAACAATTTCATCATTTTTCTTCATCATTTTTTTTTTTTTATGATCAAAATATTTTTGCTTGAAACAGCTAGGTATTTTAAGGAACCAAGTTTTGTTTTTTGGTTCAAAAATGTTGAATGAACTGCCCCAGCTCCACTAGACCTCACTATAAAACTTGAAAAAAAATATGCCATAAATTGGAGAATAAGAAGACATGAATGCAAACTAAGCAAATCAAAGTCAATTTACCTTTATAAAATTCTAAGGAATTAAAAAATCTTGACCTACTCTGAACACCTATGGAGCCCTGTTCCTTCCCCCCATATACCTCTGCTCTATTATATAACTGCCTGTTTCCATGTCTATGTCTTCCTGGGACAATTAGTTCAGGAAGTCCAGGGACAATAGCTACCTTATAAGCAGTTTAGTCCAGCTCCAGGAGGTACAAAATAAACATATGCTGAATGAACAAATGGATTCTTTTAGGGCATCCCTATCTCTGGCTGAGACTGGTATTTTTGAGGGTAAAGAATGCACATATAATCAGTATCCATGAGATTTCTCCTGGAACCCAATGGGTTCAGGAGACACTAGATGAGTGGGTGGCAGAGGGCTCCTGGCCTAGCTCTGAGGAAGGTAGGAACAGCCCGCCAGTCAGTACATGGGAGGCGTCCCAGCTCAAGACGCTGGTGAGGGTGGGGTGCTGGAGTGGGTAGAGGTATGAGCAAGGGAGCAGAGACCCAAACAGTACCAAGGACCAGGAGAGGAAGGCATGCGGAAGCCAGGCACCATTCGGGAACCAAGGTTGTTTGGAGGAGCCACAAAGGGATCTTGGAATCAGTTGTGCTGTGACTTGTCTAGAGGTGAAGGTCCTTTTAGTGAGATGGTAGCACAGGGTGTCCCGCCCAACCCACCTGATCTTCAAAGGGGCCTGCCCTAATATGATCAGGGAGTTATGCTGGTCCTGACACATATATAAAAGAGGAAATAAGAATGAAATTAGAACATTCTCTAACACCATACACAAAAATAAACTCAAAATGGATTAAAGACCTAAATGTAAGACTAGATACTATAAAACTCTTAGAGGAAATCACAGGGAGAACACTCTCTGACATAATTCACAGCAAGATGTGATAGATCTTTTCTGATCTATCTCCTAGAGTAATGAAAATAAAAACAAAATTAAACAAATGGGACCTAATTAAACTTAAAAGCTTTTGCACAGCAAAGGCACCCATAAACAAAATGAAAAGAAAACCCACAGAATGGGAGAAAATATTTACAAATGAAGTGACCAACAAGGGATTAATCTCCAAAATATACAAACAGCTCATGCAGCTCAATATCAAAAAAACAAACAACCCAATCAAAAAATGGGTGGAAGATCTAAATAAACATTTCTCCAAAGAGGACATACAGATGCCCAAGAGGCACATGAAAAGATGCTCAACATTGCTAATTATTAGAGAAATGCAAATCAAAACTACAATGAGGTATCACCTCACACCAGTCAGAATGGCCATCATTAAAAAATCTACAAACAATAAATGCTGGAGAGGGTGTGGAGAAAAGGGAACCCTCCTACACTGTTGGTAGGAATGTACATTTGTACAGCCACTATGGAGAACAGTATGGAGGTTCCTTTAAAAAATAAAAATAGAGCTACCATATGATCCAGCAATCCCACTCCTGGGCATATATCCAGAGAAAACCATAATTCGAAAAGATACATGTACCCCGATATTCATTGCAGCACCATTTACAATAGCCGGCACATGGAAGCAACCTAAATGTCCACCGACAGAGGAATGGATAAAGAAGGTGTGGTATATATATACAATAAAATATTAGTCAGCCATAAAAAAGAATGAAATAATGCCATTTGCAGTGACATGGACTGACCTAGAGATTGTCATACTGAGTGAATTAAGTCAGACAGAGAAAGGCAAAGACCATATGATATCACTTATATGTGGAATCTTAAAAAATGGTACAAATGAACCTATTTACAAAACAGAAATAGAGTCAGAGATGTAGAAAACAAAGTTGTGGTTACCAAGGGGGAAGGGGGGGTATAAATTTCAAGATTGGGATTGACTTATACACACTATTATATATAAAATAGATAATGAATAATAACTTACTGTATAGCACAGGGAACTCTACTCAGTACTCTGTAATGACCTATATGGGAACAGAATCTAAAAAAGAGTGGATATATATATATGTATAAGTAGTTCACTTTGCTATACAGCAGAAACCAATACAACATTGTAAATCAACTACACTCTAATAAAAATTAATTTTCAAAAGCTGAACCAAACAAAAAATTAAAGAGGAAATCAATGATTATTTTTGTTATATTTAAATCATGCTTGAAAAATATTTTTAAAAGTACAGCAAAATAATTCAATAAACATTTTCATATACCAGAATTAATTGAATATGTGGGGAATCAGGCACTTTCACAGGGAACAAATTGGTACAACCTTTTGGGAGCCATTTGCAAGAATCCATCAAATTGTAAAATGCATGTCACCTTTGAACTATTGATTCTTACTGCTAGCAAATTCTCTATTAAAAAATATTCCCACAAGATCATGTAAAAGAGCACTGAACGTAGCATTGTTTCTTAAAGCCAAGCTAAAGCAAAGAAAAATCATCAAATGTTCATGACTAGGGAACTGAATGATACATTATGTTAATTATGGTAGTGCTATATAATGGAATAGTGTGTAGCCACTGAGAGAAAAGAGCCACATATACTGCCATAGCAGTTGATTGGCATATTAACTTAAATAAGGAGAAAACAGAGCACACTGTATAGATGTTTCTGTATTTGATTCTTTCTGCCTTTTTGAAACATTATGGAATTATATACTCTCCATGAGGGGCTGGGTACGTGGAGAGGAATCTGGAGGCTATGTACACACACAAACACATTTATACACAGAAATCTCTCTTAATACTTCCTCAAAGAAAAGCAAGCACGTAAACTTCAAAACAGCCATGAAAATATCTGTAACTGAAAATATATCTGAACGTATCTGAAAAAAAGAAATTCAAAGCATTTGATAACCTCAGGTAACAAAGTACAGTGTGGGTGTTAGATTAACAGGCTACAAAATAAACGTGTCCCTTATTTGCCAAGCTTAACCAGAGTCAAGGTTAAGAAGCTCAGAGAAAGTCTCAGGAAAAGGAGAAAAGGACAAAAAGAAGAATCAAAGATAAAGGTAGAGATAAAGATAGAAATAAACATGCAGATAGGGAAGAGTTACACAGGAGCTCAGTGAAAATAAATGGAGTGACAAGGAGAAAGGAGAAGAAATGGAATAAAAAATAAAACAGCAGATCAAAGTGATCACATCAAAGAATAAATGGACACAAAGGAGAATTTTTCCTATTGTTTCTATTATCTTAATATAATAATAACAACAATAATAATCATTGGCTAACACTAAAGCACTTTGGGGAGACACACAATACTCAGTGTTGTTCAATTTAGGGGCAAACATACATCAACAATGCAACAATTATGAAAACAACTGTAGAAAGCATCATGTGGTTACACCATACTTAAATGGCTGGCATTCACAATGGTGACCCTAAGTTGCCTAAATGTGGCATCAACACAGTGTATGAGGTAAAAATAATTATTTTTACTAAGACAGAGAAACTAGGACTGCATTTTTTAAACAATAATTACAACTGAAAACTGCTAGATTTGGGGATCCATTAAAGGATTTGCGAAAATCTGTGTAAAACAGACCCTTGATGGGTAAAGATTATGATAGCTGTGTATCACTTATTCTCTCTCTCTCTCTCTCTCTCTCTCTCTCTCTCTCTCACACACACACACACACACACACACACACACACACACACACACACACACACACACTACATGCAGCTCCAACTGGGAACACAGAGGAGGAACGCTTGGTTTCTGAGAAATCAAGTGTGGATTCCTCATTCCCTTTCAAAATCCTTTCATTATATCTGGTAGATTTGGCCCAGACACACAAACATTGACTTATGGCACTGTGACTACTGAAGGTATCTTATCTAATATTTAGTTTTCAAGATCCAATGTACAGATTCTCTACATTGGAACATGAGGTCAGCATTCCACCCACAGAGATCCCTGTTGTGAAATCTATTCTGTTGCAGTTTTGAAGGTCTGGGATATCGAATATCACTTTTCAAGTTTTTATCAAAACAAAACAAAATACACAAAAATACCCCAGCTGTCAGAGAATTAGCCTGTTCTTAGATTGTTCAAATTCCTATATGTAACATTTCAGTTATTTCAGTTAGTAGGTAGGGAGGCTGTATTGTTTCTATTCATAAGCTTGATTTTCTTTCAGCAGATTGAAATTGGCTTGAAAATTGAACAATTTTCTATGTGAAATTTTTAGAAAATTACACTCATCACAAAAACTAAATACAAATGGGTAATGAGATTTAGAGTAGTATAATTTAATCTATTTGTTTTACACCAGTTAGCACAGTTTATTTGTAGAAAGCTGTGGCTGACTTCCAGAGAATCCCCATGAATCAACACTGAAGTTCTCAACCTTTGCCTCAAGCCCAGACCACCACTATCACAAGCTTGTTTATTACAAAGGCACACACAAAAAAACCAAGAAACTATAAACTTACTTAGCATGCTTCCACTCCCTTTTTCCCCCTTCTGGCCTTTTTGTCCAGAATTTCCTTTAAAAAAAAATAAATAAATAAAAGGAAAAACACTTTTTTTAATTTAGGTAATTCACAGTGCTTGAAATAGAGACAGAGCAACACAAGGTCATCTAGAATAACAATGTATAACAACCTACGGATTTTCAGACATAATAATGTTGTTGATGATGATGATAATAATAATAGCTATCATTTTAGAAACGCTCTTATGAACTTAGCATTTTATGGGTAGGTCCTTTACATACATTATCTCAGATTACTTACCAGGACATTAAATGTTCCATTTTCCTAAAGTAGGCAAAACTGAGGTGTAAGCAGTTTGTTTGGGATTATTCACGCTCCTTTTTCTCCTCCTTCTTTGTGTCTTCCTCCCTCTCCCAGAAAGCCTGGTATCCTCCATCTCATCCCAAACATTGTTTTTCCGTTCCCATTACAATTTGTCTGTCTTGTTTTCTATTTCTTTTATGTGAAGCCTAGCAAAGATGGAGCTGTGAATGTATTTCTGGGAGTGGTGAGATCCCAATTACCTCAGTCTTGGGGGAAGCTGGGAAGGTCTGAAGGGTGTCTAAACCTCTAGATAATTACTTTTGGCTTTGAGAAACCTCATTCACATACTTTAGAGGTATGCTATAGACCCTGTGCTAATAAGGGTCAGGACCTTATATGGAAACATTGTTAAGATCCTGCTCTTTGCTAATGGGTTGCTATTTCACCTAAGGTTCCTAAAGCTATATCCAGAGGTTAAGCCCTTAGTACCAACAAGAGAATTCAACGATGACGATTGCATCTCACTAGAGGGGTGCTGTTCTCACATATCGATTCTTCTTCCAAGAGTCATCAGATATGTCTTCTAAGTAATCACCTTCTTGGCATAAATGCAGGACTGATCATAGAGCCATCTATCTCTAAGTCAAAATCTTCATTAATGTTCTTGATTTCCTCCAGCAAAATCAAGGACTGTTCTCTTTTCATCCAAGAGCTCAAAGGGCATAGTTCAAAGATCACGAGCTTTGGAATAATAACAATAATTTTAAATTCTCTTGTGTTGAATTATTTTGCTCTGCCACTTATTAGGTATGTGTCTCAGAACAAGTCTTTAAACCTTTCTGAGCTGAAGTTTATTCTTCCTTCAAATGAAAAAATAGTACCCTCCATTGCAAACTTGCCTTGAAAATTAGGAACAATGTTTATAAAGGGCCTTGCTCTTAAGAGATGCATGTAAGAGATGGTAGCTCTTATTTGTTTTACAACATCAACTAGCTAATCTTATTTTCAGTGAATGAGAGGATTTTTTTCATTTAATTTCACTTTTTTATGGCACAATTATTTTACATTTTATTTTGCAGTTTTAATCATTATTTTGTTGTTTTTTTTTGGTCTGTTTCTCTAGCTTACTTTGCCTCATCCATGTTTTGTTTTTGAACACTTGTCCTTATTCACCTCTTACAAAAGAATTTTTTGATCTCCAATTTACCAGATTAAAAAAAATACAAAATAACGTGTGATGAGTAACATGAAAATTGAGTTTTAGCACTTAAAAATTGAAGCTATTTCCAATTAAAATTTTATTTTGAAATGCCAACCATTCCTTATCACGGTATAATAGTCTCTAATTGCTTTGCATATATGATTACACTGTACATCATTAAGTTCATTTTTTAATTGTGATTCAGTCATTTCAGGTAATATTAAATTGACAAGAATCATTAATTTAGCACAAAGTCTAATCTTTTCTTTTTTTTTTTTTGACTATAGGCTTTTATAAGATATAATATCAAAGTTTTAGATTTCCTCAAGAGGAAAAATCTAAGATATTAAACAAAAATTGGGGGAGGGGGGTTAAAATGGTGTAACTGATCAGTTCTAATTCTTTTCAGAGAAGATAATATAATAAACAAGCTTAATTTTATCATTCTAGTGTTATTTTCTGAATTAGAAAATAATTGTAAAATTACTCTGGGAAGTCTTTTCATGTTGTAGTTTGTCTTGGGTATTTTATTTTTTAAATAAATTTATTTATTTATTCTTTGGCTGAGTTGGGTCTTTGTTGCTGCAAGCGGGCTTCCTCTAGTTGCGGCGAGCGGGGTCTACTCTTCGTTGTGGTACGTGGGCTTCTCATTGTGGTGGCTTCTCTTGTTGCGGTGCATGGGCTCTAGGCATGCGGGCTTCAGTAGTTGTGGCACGTGGGCTCGGTAGTTGTGGCTCTCGGGCTCTAGAGCACAGGCTCAGTAGTTGTGGTGCACGGGCTTAGTTGCTCCATAGCATGTGGGATCTTCCCGGACCAGGGCTTGAACCTGTGTCCCCTGCATTGGCAGGCGGATTCTTAACCACTGCGCCACCAGGGAAGTCCCTGTCTTAGGTATTTTAACCATACCTTGATCTCTCTTCAAGCCAGAGAGCTGAACAAATGACCCACTTTTCTTCTTATTAAAAAAAAAAAAAAATGTTTTACGTCATTTTAGCATGATTCAGAGATTTCCTCACAGACGACACTTGGAAATCTTCTCTCACACTTGAACACATTAAAAACATCCTTTCTAGAGAACAGGGATTCCTCCCTCCTTTATAATGACACCTTAGGCTAAAAACGAGCCCAAGGGCTTTGTCAAAACCTGGAGTTAACCACCTCCTGTCAGATATGTCACTCTTCTGTCAAAAATAAAGAACTAATATTTCTTAAAGCCACTGAAAAGTATGAAGTAGATGGTATGTAATATACCGCCACTCTAACTTTAAATATCAATATAAGAGGAGGTATTTTCAATAGCATCATTGTGACTTCAAGCATTTTCAGAGCCCCTGCCATGAGCTAGGGACTTGGTTCCTCATTTTCACACACAGGCACACTTAGCCCAGCCCAACTCTTTTCACCTACTTCAATTCAGATGTGACATCTTCCCTCCTCTGCCTAATGCTTTTTTCTATTTCCTGAATTCTTCACCTTCAACCTTGTTAACCTTCCACAATCTTTTTAACCCTTCTTTCCTCTATATCTTCAAAAACTTCTCTATTTTACCTTGCTGTCAGCATTTAAATAGTATTCAAATTCACTTTCAAAATAAAAACAAAATCAAATGAAAAAAACGATCTCTTCCTCCCCCTCTGAAGAGCCAGACTGCTCTACCCCACTGTCTACAAGCCTCATCACCAGGCACCCCTGGGCATTCCCCAATCTGGCTTCTACCCCACTCCACCCAGCCCCACCAAAACCGCTCTCAATAAAGGCAACATCCTCACAGCAACAAATGGAAAGAGCTTTCTGTAGACTGCATCTCACTTGACCAACTTTTGAAACTCCTTTGGTTTTTTTTCACACCACCTTCTCTGGGTTTTCGTCCTCACTCTGGCTGCTTTGCTCTTTCTGCTCAGTCTGTACATCTGGAACCACTCAAGGCTTTATCCTAGGCCCTTTCTCTTCTCACTGTTGCCTACCCATAAAATATTACTAAAATCAATGATTATTAAAATTCATTGACTTCAGTGAACATTTGTATGAGCATAGCTACAACTTTGTCTTTCTACCTCTGGCTTCCCCTCTGAGTTCCAAACCCATATATTCGACTATAAATATCTCCATGAATGGCACAGAGTGTTCAATAGCTGTTGGTCAAATAAATAAAGGAATTTGTTGTGGTCTATAATTTTAGACATTCCTAAGAAAGACCATAACTCACCCTTAGAATCAGACTTTGAATGGACTCCAAGAGTCTAACTGGAGAGAAGCACATTATTTACATTGCTGGAAAACCTAGTTCATTTAATGAGGTTCTATTCAGAGTACTCTAGGGATTTTGAAGATACGTAAGGTTACACTTCAATTAAATCCTCTGAGCTCTCTGCAGTAAATCTGTCAGATGGTAAATGCTCTATAGATCTGCCATGGATCAAGAAGAAAGTCTTCCCCTTCTTTTCTTCTATTTGTATACTTTATCAGTTAAGGACTGCGTCTTATTTCCTCCTCATTTTCCTGTACCAAGCACTGTCCCTTGTATATATATATTGAGTACTTAATACATGTGGAAGGAAGAGGGCAGGGTGGGGAAGAAAAGGAGAGTAGGAGAGAAAACAGAAAATAAATAGGGCTGCTCTTTCTTAATCTTTTTGCTTTGAAATCACTTTGCTTTGATATCACTCAGATAGTCCAGGCTGTGTCATTAATTAGAAAATGACAATTAGTAGATTTTATTTCTAATTTTATTACCCTCTTTGGACTCTTGTAGAGGAGGAATGCATTCACTGTTTTAATCTACAGTAATAACTAAACTAGTACCAGGCACTGCTGCTCATATTTCTACCAAATTTGAGTCTTTTAATAAGGAAGTGATATCCGGAGAATATCTTTTGTCAAGGGATTTATTACCTCTACCCCTGCTTTCATTTTTACAGTCTCTCTTTCTCCAGTTTTCTTCACCTGAAGATGTGGTTCTCAAAAGGTGGTCCCTGATCAGCATCATCACTGTCACCTGGAAACTTGTGAGGGGTAAACATTCCCCAGGGAGCCCAATCCCTAACCTATTGTATCAGAAAGTCCTCCGGAGGTGGAGCCCAGTAAGCTGTTTTAACAGGCCCTACAGGTAATTCTAATGTCTGCTCAAGTTTGAGAACCACAGATGTAAAGAAATTCTGTGCATCTTTAGGCCAGCTCTAACATGACTTTCTTTGTAACATCTTGTCTTGCTGTACAGAGTTAATCACTCTACTTTCTACTTCCACAGCTTCCAGCTTCCATTACTTTTGTCCCACTTTACAAATGTTTTATTACTTACCACTTGGTAATACAGCTAATTGGTTCTGCATTTTTCTGTCCCCTGCTCTCTTCTAAAATTTCTGTGTACAGTTCACAATTCAAGCTTAGGCTAGCGGCATAAGGAGTAGAAATAATATCATCATGTATGTAAATTGTAAAGGGCCCGAACATGGTGATTATTAAGTACTAATATACAGTAGCAGGCAGCTTATCTTGTAAAGGATAGGATTTCAGGTCTGCCTGTATTTTGCTAACTGTAACTTAACAGGGTTTGGCGGTTTTGGTTAAAGGGGTGTTAATACTTTGCTTGTTTGTTTTTCTCTACCAGTCTTTCCACTCTCTTTATTCTAAGATAGATACCATTCTTCATGGTGATTTATAGTGGTGTGGAGTTGACAGATGCTCTGTTTTGATTTTATATGGAACTGTTTTCCTTCTGGACATAGAAACTTTCCTCAGGTGGACAGAAATCAGTTTCAAAATGTTTCAGATCAGAAAATAAACTGCATGGGAGTGCTGCTTTTCATACTATGATGACCATTGTTTTTGTTATCTAAGAAGTTGAAAGGAATATATATGATCTGGTGTTTATTTTACATATTCTGTGAAGAAAATATGCATTATCATAATACCTGGCCTCCCGGTCTTCCCCGCTGATCCTGGGAATCCTCGACTTCCAGGAAAACCAATGGATCCCCGATCACCTTTAAGACCTGGAGGACCTATATGGTAAATGAAGAAAAAAAAAAAACCCAAAACAGTGGTAATAATTCATTTTGCATAAAGATTTGAGAGAATAATGAAACAATCTAATTTCACTAATGGATATGAAGGAGGTGAATCTCCAAATGGAGGAACAATGTCTTTCCTAAAATTTCATGTGTAAAAATTGATAGATAACAGTAACAGTAAGTAGAAACATTAGTGCATTTAGTACACTGTAGATATTCAATATGTAACAGATTGTCACTACAAATAAAAACACACAAGAAAAAAAAATCTTAGAGTTTTAAATGGAAGCCTTATATAGTCTAATCAGGAATCTTCAAATGGCAGAATTTTGCTATAGCTGAAATGATAACTTTGAAATGTAAGCTAGAAGTTGGACTTTTAAGATTTGTCCCAGAAAAATCACAAGTCAAGCAATGAGAAGTATCAAAGAATACTTATTAAAAAAATACTGAGGCCCTAGTGCAGGAATATATTACTCTATCTCTCATGCTCTTGTTTTTACATACTCCATTGTAATCCCAAACAATAATGTAGCCATATGTGTGTGTGTGTGTGTGTGTGTGTGTGTGTGTGTCCCAGGCACAGGGAAAGTATTCAGTAAACATTTTTTTTAAAGTAAAAGGTCGTAGGTAATTCTCCTTGGCATGCTTCCAAAGAAATGGCATGCTGAAATGAATTTCTATTATACTATTTTGAGATAAAGCACAGTTTAACATAATACCCACCCCAGTATATGAGTAACAATTGTAATATATTTAATGTACTGATTATTTAATACTACTAAGCACTTATATCTTCTCAGATTTTCATATCATGGTTTTGAGTCAAGCTGAGTTTAGTGGGCTCAACTGCATGTATAGGTATTTTTTGTTTGTTTTTGTTTTGTTTTGTTGGTACAGGGTTTCTTTTGTCTTTTCTTTAAACACTCCCATTGTAATATTTATTTTTTTATTTGTTTGGCTACACCAGGTCTTAGTTGCGGCACATGGGATCTTTTAGTTGTGGCCTGTGAGATCTTTAGTTGAGGCACGTGAACTCTTAGTTGCAGGATGTGGGATCTAGTTCCGTGACCAGTGATCAAACCTGGGCCCCCTGCATTGGGAGCACGGAGTCTTAGCCACTGGACCACCAGGGAAGTCCCTATAGGTGGAATTTTAGTAAACCTGCTTAAATCAGGAAGTAGAATTATCAAGACAGTCCATCATATACTTTTAACTTCCTGGTTCCCTACCAAACATGGGGCAAATAGGCAATCTGGCAAAGAACAAAACAGATTGCAGCGATCAGGTAGGAAAGATGCCTCGTAACTTGAATATTTTTGCGGCAGTGCACCAAATCAAAGGGCAACCTAAAAATCTAAGAGTCAATTTATCACTCCAACAGTGAAATCTACCTCTCTTTTTTGAGGGCCAGATAATGCCTATTTGTGTATATGAGCAATACCAACAGCAGCAAACTAAAACCTCACTTAAAGAATCAAAGCAGCTTTGCAACGGTATCTGTCTATGGTGGTAACAAAAGCTGAAACTTTTAAATCCCTCTTTCTATTTGATTCCGAAACAGCTACAAAAGGTGTTCCCAAGATGAAGCTTTGGAAGGCAAGTTGTAGCCCAGACTGAAATTTTATGGTTGAGTTATAAAGCTTTGATAATTGCAATTTGTAATGGAGGAGTTGACAGACCTTTGACAATAGCCGCTCTGACAGATAATATAACACTGGTTACTTCCCCTGCTTATGACATTAATGCACCATTGCTAAGATCTGCTGGGTGCCAGTCAAGTAGAAAGACTTTTCTGAACAAAGAATCTTACCTGGTATTACTTTCAAAGGCAAACCAACAATTTATATATATATATAGAGAGAGAGAGAATTCTAAAAGCTTTTTTTCTTTTTAAGGTAAACTTTATATATTGGCTTTTTAAGCACTATGATGTAAAGGGCTGGCATGTGTCAAATTCATGCTTTTCATTTTTAAAAATTGTTTTTCTGATGTAACCTGGGCTCGTTGATACATTGATCAGAAAGAAGAACAGTTTATATAATCAAAACACAGAAAAATAAGATCAAGTCTCTGGTATTTAGACATTTCTTTGGCCTCAGAAACTATTCTAGTTATCATTAGATGGAGCAGTATACTCCCCACCTTCAAAAAGCATGCAGGTATTTGATTTCTAGCCATGAATAACATGATGATCATGTTACTGTTATTATCTTTATTTTTTGAAAGCAAAGAAAGTTCATGCTCTTTCTCTTTTTCTGTCTTCTATTATTGTCTTTCAAAATATTGCTTTCAAGATTACAGAAGAAAATAATTTGGAACAATTTTGCTCTAAGTAAGATACAGAGAGTGGCTGACAGCAAAGGGAAAAGTCATCTGTATTCTAGTCAGTATTTCATTGAGATTGCATAGGTTTAAGCAGATAAATTCCAGTTAAGGACTATATAAGGAGTATAATCCAATTTGCCTTTGATTTACATTAGTTGTTGTTGTTGTTGTTTTTTGTATCTTAAAAACCAGATAACCTCCAAATATATTCAATGTGAAGATGGTTTTCATATTTTCCTTCACATGTGACCTAAAACTAGGTCGGCCAAATACTGTTTGCAGTCAGTGATATGGACAGCACTCTCTAGACTTATGAACAACCCCATGTTGTTAAAGCACTTAACTTTCTTTAAAAATCAAGAGTCACTGCTTACCATTCAGAACATGATAGTGATTAGGCTACCAAAACATTTGATATCCCCTCAACACACACAAACATACACATGCAGATACACACACACACACACACACACACACACACACACACGCCACACAGAGAACCAGTCAAATAACTGATTTCCCCTACACACATACACAGATGTACATTACCTAGCCCCGCAGTATATGATGGAGTAGTTACCGTACCTACTGGACCTGGAGTGCCTCGTGGACCAACTTCTCCAGTGGGACCTCTATCTCCTTTTTCACCTGGAGGTCCAGGAGGACCTTTAAAAAATAAATGACAATTACTGATCATAGGCTTAAAGCATAGGTAAAATAGATTTGTCATTTGTCAAGACAGTTACATAGGTAAATCCACAGCCTTTTATTTGTTACACAATTACACTGAATGAATGAGAATAACCTTCCTGAATGGAAGCATACCCTGCTACTGAGTAGTGCAATGAGATAGCTCTAAATTAGACAACCTAATTATGGACTAAATATTTCGGTGTGCCAAGCAGTGTTCTAGGTTCTCAGATCCTGGGGGCAGAGAAAGACAGTGAGTCAATGATGGCACAAATCCACATTAGTATTGTGTACCTACTGAGTATGAAACCCAGTGCCCCTAAAACTGAGCTCCCTTGCCAAGTTTATGATTAACCTCTCTATCCAAAATTTTATTCCCCTTCTTGTCCTACCCCTGCTCCCCTCAGGACTGAGGAATATCAAAGAAAAGGGGGATTGAAACCAAGCAGGACCCTGCAGGGCCTTCCTGGGTACAAAACCCCTCCAGGCCCCCTGTTTCTTGTTTGCAGAAAAAAGGCTTTAGTTTCCTAGGCCTTCCCTGAGCCCCAAAGAGCAGGCACAAGGAGTTAACAATGAGAGAAGTGAGGGGATGCAGAAACAAAGGAGAAGCAGTCAAGCAAGGTAGCTAGAATGATAGTTCGGAGTCCTAGTTCCTCCTCAGTGGATATACATAACAGTCTGACACATACCTTCGAGTTGATCTGTAGAAACTAAGCCCTTCACCCATGTGGAGGATGGTGACTACGTGCTGACCACTAGTATGTAGACCCCACACTGGTTGGAACCAGAAGGTTGATGATTAAGTTTCTGGGAACATCACCCTGTTACCTCACCACCAGGCAGATTTCACTATATTAATTTAGATGCTCTGTGGAAAATGTATAAGTCGAGTCATGTGGGATACCCTCAAGGGAAACAAAAATCCACACAAAGTAGACAACCAAAAACCCTATCATTGAAAAATGATACCCTCGGGTATTAGAAAAATGCAGATCAGCAAGAGGAGCAGTGGTTGAAAAGACTTAATTGAGGAGGTAGGATGTGAAGGGGATTTTGAAGAATGGGTAGAATGAGAAGAAAGAGAATGCTGGGTAAGTGGGAGAGATGTGGGGAAAGGCAGGAAAGTGAAAATGAGTAAAGGAATAACTTTTCAAGTAAAATATTAGGTAGAATCCCTAGACAGATATAGACATTATAAAATAAGTTGGAGAGGTTGCAGGGAAAATTTTGACTACCTGGCATGGCAATTAGCAAGGTGGCCCCCTAGTACTGAGTTTGATCAACACTGATTTAGTCATTTGAATTTTCTGTGCCCAGCAAAACAGATATCTAGTGATCACCTCTTTAGAATGATGGTACTGAGTATGTCCCTCTTCTACATGGAGTGCCAGAGGACAAGTGTTATTCCTTTCCTTTAAAGCAGAACACTTAGCAATTTCTTCTCAATTCCAAAAGGAAGAAATGAATCTGGACATACCATAGAATAATCAAATAGTGGTGTTTTAAAAGAGTCATTTTCAATTTCCATGGTTCAGGGATAGCAAGGATCACACACAACTATGTTTAGCATCACTGGTTAGAGAGAACGTGTTTATAAATTTTAATCAGGTGGGGAGATACGATACTTGAAAAATTCTAAGAAGGGGCTCCATAATGATAATCTTATGAGTAAGTATATTCTGTCCATTTTCTTTGCTTCTTTTGAAATCCTTGTCCCTTGCCTCTCTCCATTTTTCTGATCTGTTTCTGATTTTTCAAGGCCCAACTTGGGTTTTAGCACCTTCCCTGGTGACTTAATTTTCCAGATATAATTGCTCTTCTCAATGGCACATCATCCATTTCCCTTCATACACACCATTGGGCTGTAAGGTTTTATTGCATTTTCATTACAATAGTAACTCTACATATTATAGGAAATATAAAAGCCTAGAAAAAATGAGGAAAATATAATACATAATTCTATCATCTTAAGAGAATAATCACTAACATTTATTATCTGTTTTTGTTGTGTATTTTTTGTTTTGTGTTTTTACATAATCATCATGCAAACTGCATACTACTGGGCATTAAGTAGTTGTAGTAACAACTAGTAAATTCTCCTAAGCTATAGCTTAATGTTGGAAACATATATTAAGGTGTCCACAAGAGATGTCATGGTTCTACGTCAATGGGAATCTACGCATCTTCTATTCCTGCAGAATGTAGTTTTTCCCAACAAAGGGGTTTTAATTCCCACAACCGTGAACACAGCTGCAGTTCATTCATCTCTGCACAGTGACAATGGAGGGGGCAAGCAGGACAGAAAGACTCAATTTACAGCTTGAATTTTGCTGAGCACATTAAAGGGAAGCAAATCCACAGTACTCCAGGATGGCATTTTGAAAACCAATTGCACATGAAAAGACTTTGATTCAGTGATTAGGGCTCTAAAGCAAGACAGACATTCCAGGAAAAACTAGAAGGTGTGAGACAAGAAACAGGGACACAGATTAGCTCTGGGCTCTTAGCCTCTGAGATCAAGAGTTTTCACCATTTCTTTAATAAGTAAGAAATGGAACTCACTATCTTTTCAATTATTTTGCATGTAACTATGTATAGTAACTGTACACAGCTCAAATGTTGGAGCATTAACTCAGTCATAACAAATACATCTATGCTACTTTATAAAATTTGGAGTTAAAGATCCCTCTTTGTCTATTTCTATATAAAAATGCTGATACCAGGTACTTGAATCCCAGAATAAGAAAACGAGGTAAAGTCTTTCCTTCAAGAGTTCTGTGTTGGATGTTACATTTTGATTGTTATCTTAGTCTTCATGTAACATTAATCTCACCCATTACATTCTGTTTAAATTCTATAATTTGTTATGTGTCTTCTACTGCCTAGAACAAAATGTGGAAAGTATCTCAATGGTTTAAGTGTCTTTTCGATATTTTGGAGGGATGGAAGTACACAGATCATATACTACTTTCTCTTAACTTCTTATGTAGAACTTTCGAGAACATTATCAACATAATGCTCTCATCTACCTTCCAAAACTGGTCTCTCCAATCCTGCTGTTGCTCACATCCTTATCATACTGCAGTTGGACTAGTCTAGAGGGTTTTTTATTAAAATCTGGTCTGAATATATTTTGTCTATTCCACCCTCATTCATTCATTTAGTTCAGTTTAAAAACAAATGTCTGCATCAACTGTAAAGAAATGTAGCCATTTATTCTGCCACGTTATGGAAAAAAAGAATGAAGAACTTTAAGTTTGTGACTTCGAGTCTATTGTAGTCACCTTCTTGGTTCTGAGTTACTATTTAACCTTTCAAACTTCTGTCCCATAATCACATCAACAACCACCTCTGTGCATCAATAATGGACATAATGCTTCCTGGCAGCTCTCTTGCTAACATATGTCAAAGGACACTAGATTAATATTGTTTGAAACATCTGATCTGCCCTAGTTCAAGAAGCCATAAGAATTCCACTATTTTTCATCATCTTTAGTACCATCTAACTTCAAAGTTAGAGGGATCATTCACAAATACTATAGCAGTAATTTGCCATGAACAATTCCCTCTATAAAACACACCACCAAATCCGTTATTAGCTGTCTCCCTATGATTTTTTTTTTTTAAGGAAAACTAAGATATCTACTTAGCCACAGAGATGTACTGATTTAAAATACTCAGTAATTAAAAAATATCACAGATCAAAATTACCCAATTTACTGGGAAAGAAAACCCAGGAACATCACATCATTTAAAATCCTCAAATGATAACATAGCACTAATAATATCTGCCAAAATTTCCAGAGCTATGCTTCTCCATGTCGTGTTCATTATGATCATAAATTTCCTACTTTGTTCTCAATCTTGCCTCACATTTAGATCACCATAAAAAATCTGCCAAGTCTTCTAGGCTGTTGCTAGTTAAACCTCTTTTTTTTTTCTTTTTTCTTCCAGTTTTCATGCTCACTGACTTAGAGATGTTTAATCTGGACGAGGCCTTAAAGCTTGCTGAGTCAAACATAATTATAGAGGTCTGAGAGAGTGAATTCCCAAGGTCTTAAAGCCAGTTGGGTAAAATCAGAACTAGAATACTTCTTTCCTGATGTTCTAGGCTATACTTTTCCAAAATTAATTGATTTCATTTTTGGCATCTGTTCTTCCATTATTCCTGAGATGAATTTTTCTTTTACATAGTGGTTAAAGACACAATTCATTTCTTAAATCCCAATAATTAACTGGACAAATCTCCAAATTCAAATTCTATCCATCACTTCTTCTTCTTCTTTATCATGACAATTGATCAATTGATACATTTTTTTCTCTTTTTGGTGCTTTTAGTTTCTGGAAAAAAATATGCTTAAAATTTTTCCACATAACCGCTGCTTTCAGCAATGAGTCATATTCTATTTTTCTTAACTTCTCTTAACTTCCTGCCTCAAATGTTTAACAACTTTGTCTTTTTAAATCATGTTATCACCCATTCCCACCAAATTCTGCTTCACCATTTCAACAATGAAATTTCATTTAGTCCTTTAGACTTTAATTGCTATAATTACTTGAGAAATATATTAAAATATCTTTACCTCTTTAATCTTCATACATAGTTAGTAATTGCTAACATAAAAGAGGAGGGACACAAAGTAATGACACTGATTCTACAACTGACATTAGATAAAGCACTCATTAATTAATACAGTGTCTCTCTTGGGTTATAGTTTAATAAATATTTATGAAAACTTACGACTAGATGCTGTAGAGGATATAAAAAATAGCCCCTAATTTTAATGAACTTGCTGTTTCCAGTAAGAGACAACATTTCGATAGAAGACAGTATGAGATATTTTTAGATATGACAATCATATTAGGAATTCTCTTGTGAAAGAATACTTAATATTCAAAAGTAAGCAAGATATAAATGTCAGCAAGAGTATTACTACAGTGGGCCCAAAGAAAGATTCATGGAAGAGGTTGCATGTATGTCATCTATGGACATTAATGATAGATAAGATATTTTCAGATACAAATAGAAGAGGAAAGATATTCTTTCAAGTGAAGGAAAAGCCATGAGGCAGGATGTCAAAAGTATTGGGCATGTCAGAATCACAGTAAAATCAATTGAAATATTTGGTGTCAAAAGGGGAAAAGACAGGGAATGAGGCATTCAAAAGTAGTTAAGAGAAGCACTATAGAAGAACTTGAGTGCTGCAGAGAAAAGTGTATGTGTAATAAGGAGGCGACAGAGAGTCTCTTTGCAATCTAGGGTGTCCCTCTAGGAAGGCTGCATTCTAACAAGAGTGTAGAAAGGATTGTAGTCTGAAAGACTGAGTCAGGAAATGATTGCGAGACTATTTCAATAGTCTGGCAGAGTAATGATAAGAATAGTTTACACAGAATATAAAGGAGTGACAAGGGGTAATGGTATTCTGGGAGAAAATAACAACAACAATTAAAATTTCTACCTTGGAAATCTGGAAGAATGACATGGCCATTACAAAGTGTAACTTCATAAAAAGGAAGTATTACTTTCACTTATTCCTTTAAGGTATATACATTTGCTCACACACCATATACCAGGCACTCTAACAGGTGCTGTGTATGGAGAGATAGACAAGAGAGACAAGACCCAACCTCATGGAACTCGAATTTTATTCGAGAAGATCTGTGATAAACAAATAAGCAAATGTATATATGAAACAGTATCATGTAGTTTTAAATACTATGAGGAAGTTAAAGCACACCATGATATAGAGAGATAATAAGAATGGGGAGGGAGAAATTATCACTAAAAAGGTAACTTTGAGTGGATCTAAGGAGAACGGAAAGCTAAGAGAACATTTAAAGGGAGAGAGAGCTGTCTAGTGCACATTATGACAGCAAGAAGTGAAACCAGCACTTCCTCCTTGTTAATTTATACTGTTCAATGGCACTTTCATTCTTCCAGCTCTTCCAAGCTAGACAGAGGGAAAATTAGAAAAGAGGGCAGATAAGTAGATGGGTGCCAGATCAAGTAGGAGTTCAGATTTTATTCCAAGTTCAATGGGAAGATATTGGAGGGTTTTAAGAGATAAAAGATCTAATCATATGTTATTATTATTATTATTTCAATAACACTCTTTTGCTCTCTGTAGAATGGATTAAGAGTAGAATCAGGGAGAACAATTGGGAAGCTGATGTAGTACACCAGGCTGTAATACAGTTGCTTGAATTAGAGTCATAGCAGAGGAGACAGTGAGAAGGAGTTTTATCATATGGAAGAAGAGTTAACAGGACTCATATATGGATTGGTTACAGGGAGTGAGAGAAAGAGAGAAATCAAAGTTTGCTTCCAAGATCTTGGAGTGAGTTACTAGTTGGACAATGACTCAATTGACAGATAAGACTAGGAAACCAACAGATTTGAGGGGTGGATGAGGGTAGGTGCTCTCAAGAATTAAGGGCTTGGCGCAGGTTCGATCCCTGGTCAGGGAACTAAGATCCCACATGCCGTGTGGCATGGCCAAAAAAGAGAGAGAGAGAGAGAGAGAGAGAGAGAGAGAGAGAGAGAGAGAGAGAGGGAGAGAGAGAGAGGGAGAGAGAGAGAAACAGAACTAAGGGTTTGGGTGTGGATTTGTAAAGTTGGGGATATTTAATTGAAATCCCAAGTGGAATGTCTAATTGTTAGAGTGAAAGCTGATTAATTCAATTTTTCTTTATCATTGGTTTCAATGTAATACTTAAAGAAAACATGCAAGTAGGGGCTTCCCTGGTGGTGCAGTGGTTAAGAATCCGACTGCCAATGCAGGGGACAAGGGTTCAAGCCCGGTCCGGGAAGATCCCACATGCCTCACAGCAACTAAGCCGATGCGCCACAACTACTGAGCCTGCGCTCTAGAGCCTGTGAGCCACAGCTGCTGAGCCCATGTGCCACAACTACTGAAGCCCGCATGCCTAGAGCCCGTGCTCCACAACAAGAGAAGCCAATGCAATGAGAAGCCCATGCACCACAAAGAAGAGTAGCCCCGCTAGCCGCAACTAGAGAAAGCCTGCACGCAGCAACAAAGACCCAACTGAAAGAAAGAAAGAAAGAAAGAAAGAAAGAAAGAAAGAAAGAGAGAGAAAGAAAGAAAGAGAGAAAGAAAGAAATTTATATAAAAAAAAGAATACATGCAATATATTCTATACCAGTTAGCTATAAACATAATAATAAATATACCTGCAACATTACAACCCAACAAACAGCTATTTTGTCGCTTTCCCATCTCATTCATCTTCTTCCTTTTCAAAAACAATCATTAACCTGAATTTTGTGTTTCTCATTTTCTTACATTTTAAAAACAACCATTCTCATTAAATGTGTATGTGTCTGTAAATATACATTATTTACTTTTACTGAATCATGAGCATTAGAAACAAAAATTGTACTGTAAATAGTCTCTGGGACTTATTTTTAAAATTTTTCTTTTCTTGTAAAAATTTGGATATTAAGACTTCTTAATTATCCTAAACTAGTGTTATGTAAGATGAAATCACATGGATTTCTGTTTCTCTTGTTCTAATAAGAATTAACAATTGAAAGTGTAAAGTAGAGCTTAACAGACATGGTAGCTAGAATAAGAAGATCCAACATGAATTTAACTAGTGTTACAGAGGAAAGGATAGAGAGAATTGTGAAGAGGCAATATTCAAAGAGACTGAAGCTGATAATGTTCCCAAATTTATGATAGACTTAATCCACAAATATAAGTGGATTTAGGAAGAAAATGAAGTAAAACAAATGCCACATGGAAAAACTGTCGATATAAAAAACACAGATGAGTGAAATTGTAGGTATTAAAGACAAAGATGATGGCAAGCAATGTGGTCATAATCATTTTAAAAGCAATAAGAAAGGCCATAAACCAGAAGAAAATACGAATAAAAATAATAACTGTTACCCTAAGAAATATGTGGTAAAACAATTTTAAAGATCAAGGACAAAATAGAAAAAATGAAATCAAAACATCTCACCACCAATGGACTTTCACTAAACAAATCTCCAAAAAATACTTCAGGAAGAAAAAAATGATCCCAGAAAAGATGTCACAGATACATTTAGGAGGAGGAAAAACTGGCAAACTCATGGGCTAATCTATATAAATTATTGTCTGTATCATGTAAGAAAAACAATCTTGACTTAATTCTTGGTTTAAAAAATACATAAAATAGAAATGAGCTATACTCAAAGACAGCAGGAAACCAGGGAAGAGGGTCATCAGAGCGTTTTAAGTTCCTTGTATATTTGAGGATGAAGGTGAAGATACTGATCAATTTGTGACTTTAAGATAAATTTTAAGGATGACTATCAGCAAAATAAAAATAAATATAAGGTTTCCAAAATCTTTTTGGTGCCCTTGATAGAGAGAAAAGTTTAATGAGAAAAATTTCAAATAATCCTAAAGTTGACATGGAAGGAAAGCAAAAGGAACATGAGACTGGACAGAAATGGAGCACAAAATGACAGTAGAAATAAATATGGTGAAAAGAGATGGCCAGATTGCATAGTAAAATTTAAGAACTATTCTTTACAAGAGACAGCCTAATACAAAGGATAACAAAGCTTGAAAGTAAAATATGAAAAAAAAAGTTAAAATGTAAATAATGACTAAAACCTAGTATAGAAATATATATGATATATATACTAATTTAGAAGTCAGTAAGATTCAATTTACCTTGTTTTACTCACAGGAGCTAAAGAAGAAATTGACAAACTCACTGGTTTTTTTTTGAGAATTCAAAAGACCTTTCTAATTAATAATACAATTGATAAGGTAAGAAGAAAAAATCTGTAAGTTTAGAAAAACAGAATTAACAAGCTTGATTTAAAGACAGGTAGAGAACTTTGTGCCTCACAGAAAACTTGTATTTGTACATATGAGAAATTCTGAACAATAATTCATTAAACCATAAGAGCAATTTCATTTGTTTTTTGCTTTTTTTAAAATCACCATTTAAAGGATACCAAGATACTGTCATCTTAACATGTCTTGATATGATCTCAAGGCTCCTCCCTCTGGATCTTTGTAGTAAAATTTGTAGTAAACTATTTTAAAACCAGAGAATTTCCAATATCAAATTTCTACATATATCAGTGCATTTTAGTACATGATTATCTGGAGAATGAGAGGATATTTTACCTTGAATTAAAGTGATATTTTTCAATGTCTGAGAATGTTCCCAATCCTTCAGCCTGAGATCATTAGTGATGTTATTCAACAGTTTCACTTCTCCTTTTATTTCCTGTTCCAAATGCACTTGTTTTTCTTCAAGAGACTTAATTTCTGCTGATGTATTGTACACACGCTCCTCTAATTTGCTCATCTCCTGTGAAACATAAGCAAACGTTCGCAATTTTTGTTACACACATAATTATCAAATATATAAGTTTAAGAAGCCCTACAAGTCAGGTTTTTAAAAAATGTAAAATATTACAGTAATATTATGGAATAAGAATATAGAAATTAGAGAACAATTTTAAAATAGTAATTCCTTGGTTTTGAAGCATTCCTCTTTTAATTGAATGGCTGAATTTTCACACCCTCTGCCAGAAAAAAATTGGTTAAATGTATATCTAAGGTATGCTTCTATTCCCAAATATATACATGTCAAAATGCTAAAAATAAAATAAAAAACTTGTCATATGGTTTTTAATTTATCCGAAGCGAAATTCTTTACACTGTACTTAGAGTAATTACAGTTCCTTAAATTAAATAGATTTGTATATTAAATTGTTTTATAGCAATAACAAAGTTTAATGTCACAATTCTCAGTGGTAATGAACATTAAGGATAGCTTTTCAGATTCAATAAAATCTCAATTAGCATTAACAAATACCTTATGTTCAGCTTTTTTATTGCCTCTGCATTTGAGATTTCATTATTATTTTACGGTTTCAAATGCATATATATTTTGTGCATATTTACATACATGTGTGCATATCTGGAGACTGAGCAAGACAGATTGTACTACATTCTGGGTTATGCTTTTATTTTTCACTCAATAATATAAGAATATTTGCCTATCAAAATACTTAGAGGCTGCCTTATTTTCTATAATTTAGTGGAATTGTATTGTATGTATTTTTCATAATTTATTTGATACCTATTGATAGAGTTTTGAGCTGCACATAAATACTGCTGAAATGAACACCATTTTATATGTATCTACATATTTATACAAGCACTTCTATAGGACAGCTTCCTGGAAGTGGATCTGATCAAAGGGACTAAATATTAAAATTTTTGTTCACTACTACCACACCACCCTCCAAATATATGGGACCATTTTTTAAATCTTTCTCAGTGTACATGAATGCTTACTTTTGCACTCAAATCCTAGGTATTCATCAATATATTTAACTTTGTAGAGTAAGAGTAAACATAATAAAACCTTGTTTAATTTGCTTTTCAAATTAAGTATCTAGTCATAAAGTTTTTGACAATGTTTTTCTTTATTGCTTTTCCTTTCAAGTCTTTTGCTTGGTTTTCCTTTGGGTGCTGGGCTTTCTCTTTCCAGTGTACCTAACCTTCTCATCTATCCTGATAATGTTTTCTGTCTCTGTTCTTTTATTGCGTCCTCTGTTTCCATGGTATGCTCTATACTTTTCTAAGGACTTCTAGGTTTAACTGTTGATAGATTCTCATCTCCCATTTGCACAAAGAAATAAACCAGTGGTTTATTGTTAATTAATCCAGGTATGAAGAGAAAATTTCACCTCCCTTCACTGGACTGGACAAGTTGAAGTGAGAGGATCAAGAGAGTCAACTAAAACCTTTGGAAAGAAATGAACATGTACCAGATCTACCTCTACAATAGCAGTGTACTCAAGCAGAGAGACATCCATTTTTACTGCTCCAATGGCTTAACCCATCCAAAACCTTGTTCTAGATTAGAATTTCTCTACCCTCTACCACCTCCCTCCCTATTTGGCATTTTCCATACACTACGGTATAAAGGTGAGATAGTGAACATGGATGTTTGCAGAGTGCAGCAACATGGTAAATATGCTCGATGTCATTTAGGTGGCTGCAAATTGCTCCAGCTGTCAGGTAGTTCCTGATATCCACAGAGCAAAAGTCAGGGGACTAGCTGGTGATTTTGCTACCTAAGCCCTGGGAGCCGCCGATGTTTTTCATACCTAAAGCTGCAGCTGCCTTCTTTTTCCTTCTTTGAAAACTGCATGTGGTGCTCACATTAACCATATTTCACTTGAAATAAGTTTTATTAGGAAGAGAAAAAAGGCATTTGATATATTTTTTAAAGTGCTATACAGCACCTACACACACCGTCCACAGTCTATCACCAGTGGCACTGCTAGAAACAGGCATTTATTTTTGCATTCTTACAGTCCTTTGTACGTACATAGGAGAGGATAAATCCCACGTCTCTCTTTGATTTTGTGTCAGTGTTCTCTTTTCTTTCAAATGAATGCTTGGTCTGTCCTTGCTAAACATTATGCTGCTATTACTTATAAGCCTTTTCCTCAAACAGCATTTACTGATTGAGGCATTCATTTAATTTACTTATTCCTGCTTTGGGCTAAAGATTCAAAGATGAATACAATTGTTTTAAGCGATGAGAATGAGATTCCAAATATTGTTTTCAGTGAGTAAGCACACACGCACACACACTAGCACTGACCTAGATTCCAAATCTCCACAGATGACTACTGTCTTAAAAAAAAGAAAGCTTTGAAAAAATAATTAACTTTGGAAGTTCCTCCTTTCCCTTGTACCTCCACATCTAATACTAGGACCCCTTCCAAAATGTAAGTGTAATCTGTCCGAATAGCTCACTGATCACCAGATTTTGGTTATTTCTATTAAGTATCACTTCAAACAGGTTCAGGACTTCTATTGCCTTCCAAATGGTTTCCACTTTGGTTTCAATTCCTCATTTACACGGGTTCATAGATATTCTATAATCTCTAATGAGTTGGGGACATTACTAATATCAAATATATTACTTTTTCATCGTGTCCATCTTCGTTTTCTCCACACCCTGTCTCACTGTTCCTCTGATCCTGTTTCCACACAGTAATATTTCTTCTCCCTTCCTCTTCCCCTCTAATTTAATCAGTTTCTACTCCCATGGCTGACATTTTACTTTCCTCTCTTCCTCAGCCCTGGGGACAGTTGCTTCTTTGAGAATTTTCTCTAACTCCTCCATAGCTTGAGTTCTTGATATTACAATAGCATCTGAAATGCTTGGGTACTTATTAACCATGTGGGAAACACTAACAGTCAGATTTTGGAAGATGGGATGAGGATTAGAGAGAGAATATCAAGGTTGGTGTTAGGATGAGGTTCACCAACAGTCTCCATATTTAAATAGCAATGTCACTGTCTTCTCAGTGATTGCATCTTACAAAAACTAAACATGTAGGGTGTTCTTTCTTAACCTGTTTAGTCTATTCTCTAGTCAATAATTTAGTTGGTTGCCACCTGATGTTACAACTTCAGAGGCTTCTCTTTGCTCTCTATAAGGGACATCCATTTTTAACAATCACTACTGCATAACACTGTATCTATACAGAAAACAACCTCATTAATTAAGAAATGGTCTATTCAAGTAAAATCTACTACAAAGACACCAGCATTGCTGAGATAATGGTGGAAAATTTATAGATTTTAGTACAAAGATTGTAGTAGTACGAAGATTTGTAGTACGAAGATTATTTTTTTACATGAGTAATGAAGTTTTATCCATATGCTTATTTTTTCATGGAATGGAAGAATTATAATTACCCAACAACAAAAAATAATTCAATATTGAACAACTTGCTTCTTAATTTCTTTCTCATCAAAACAGTGACCCAGAGGGTTGGCCACAGAATAGTTTAGAGCAAAGGTAAGAAAATTATGATTCATGGGTCAAAGTCTTTTTCTGAAAAGAAAGATTTATTGGATCACATTTTCACTCATTTGTCCATGTACTGTCTATGACTGCTTTTGTGCTACAATGGCAGAGTTAAGAAGTTGCAAAAGAGACCATGTGGTCCCCAAAACCTAAGGGTTGTATCTGGGCCTTTGCAAAGAAACTTTTGCTAGCAACTGATCTGGAAGATGACTTGCTCTCTTGTCTTGTGTATTTGATCCTGTGATGGTAATAAGATGTTGTATACATTTTTCAAACTTTAATTCTTTAATTATAGTTACCTTTACACATAAAAACTTATGGATGCTTCTTGGGAGTGACAAACTATTTTATTTATTTATTTATTTGTTTTATTTTTTATTATTATTATTTATTTTTGCAGTACGCGGGCCTCTCACTGTCCTGGCCTCTCCCGTTGCGGAGCACAGGCTCCGGACGCACAGGCTCAGCGGCCATGTCTCACGGGCCCAGCCGCTCCGCGGCATGTGGGATCTTCCCGGACCGGGGCACGAACCCGTGTCCCCTGCATCGGCAGGCGGACTCAACCACTGCACCACCAGGGAAGCCCGTGACAAACATTTTAAAATTTAGATTTTGTACTTCGCCCACGTAAATAAGGTTTTCATTCTTTTGATGATGAAGAAAGTTTGGGTTTCGTATAAAATTTGCAAATGCAGAGTATCTATCTGTCCAAATCTGCTAAGATAATCTAACAACTATAATTGGTTTCGAGAGTCTCAAGAGGCATTCTAACAGTATTTATAAAATTAAAATACCCTAAGAGAGTCTATATTTGATGAAAAACAAACAAACAAACAAACAAATTTCCCCTTTTGCTGGGAATCTGGAGAAGGCAGTGGGTAAATCCATTTGAAACTTTCTGGTAAGATTGCAAGAGGAATCAGGGTTAAGTAGAATGATGTTGAAACAGGGTTTGCAACTTTTTCTCTTCCCTGGACTATCTGAGGAGATAGGATCTAGATGGATTCAATCCCAGGTATGACCTTCCAATACAAACCTCTTACCTCTTGTTGTTTAAATGCATTCTCTTGGACTTTGGCATTCAGTGTTGCAATACTGAGCTGCAAATCAAGCAGTGTGGTGTTCAGACTTATTAATGACTTGGAGACTTCACCTATTACCTTTCCATGTCCCTGGATGAAGGAAAGTAAGGAACTTAGCTGGAGAAGAATGTCATTAAACCTTTGATCGGTTGTTACACTGAAATTTTGGAAATTCTTGGCATCTATGAGATTGGCTTCATTATCTGAAAGATATTGGATTCTCATCTCCATGTTGCTCATGTGTTCCGTAATGACTTCTCGAAATCTCATTGCATCTTCACTGTCATTTCCTTTTCCTGCGAGACTTGGAGATATATCATTTGCATTAACTGAACCAACTGTGCAATTCTTCATTTCCCATTTCAGGAGTTGAGCTGCATATTTAAGTAAAAATAAACAGAGTCATGCCCTGTAAGCTTCAATGCATCCACCATTCCATTCCACAACACTTCATCCCATTCTAACGTTTTGAACGCTATCCTAAATCAGGTATGTATTTTAAATATACAAAGTATGAACCAAGGTAGGCATACTGCTGAGAGGGAAACTGTCTCCTTTTCCCACTTTACATTAGAGTTTATCCCATAGTTCAGTCACTCTTTCTGAACTGCTGCTTAGATGAATCTTCTGGGTCGTGGCACATGGCTCTGAGAGTAAGAGTAAATTCTAGAGATCATGAAGTACACTGTATGCTGGTCCTCAGGTGTGCTGTTAGAGTAAAACGAGATAATGCTTAACACAGTGTCTGAAGTAAACACGTTGAGTAGGTTAGTTATTATGAAGACAAATGATAATGTGACAGAAACAATACGTAGTATCAATAAAGGTAGAAATATTAGTGTTATCCACTGTACGAACAAAGTGTTGGCACATCTTCCTTATCCTATCACTAAGCTAGCAGAGAGTTATTATTTTCAGTTTCCACAGAACTAAGTTACTGTTGGTAGAGCAGGAAACTGGATAAAAGAAGTTTTTTTAACTTTAAAAAATATTGTTTTTATAAGACTCCTCTTTACTTATTACAAAACATTTATTTATAGCAGAAAATTTAGAGGAGACAAGGAATAAGGAAAAATAATTTACCATTAATCTCAGCGTCCTGAATTAAGTGCTAACATTTTGGTATATGCCTATCAAATTTCTGTTCCCACTATCATATTATCATCACAAAAGCAAGATTTTATATACAATCTGGAAACTAGCTTTTAATTAGTACTCTATCATAGACTTTTGCATATTATTTAATATTGTTTTACAGAAATAATTAGAATAACTACATTGTATTCTATGTGTGATTCTACCAGATTTATTTAACAAAACTCCTACATTTACTTTGCCTCTGTTTCTACTAATATATTGAACACTTTGATGAACAATCTTATAAGTAATTATTTCCTGAATAAAAAAATTCTACTAAATGGTATTTGGGGGCATACGGAGGTGCTGATATATATTTCCAAATGGGCATATGTTCTCTAAACAAGCTAATTATCCTTCTGAAAGGATCTAGAGAAATATGTTTATAGTTTCAAAAACTGAAAAGCATAAACAATACTTTTGCAGATAAAAATAATATACAATTATACACAATGAAGAAAATGTTAAACACCATTTTATATAATCAGTGGCGGTTAAGATTTTATTGATTTTTTCATCTCTCTTTATATATCTATATCGTTTATACCTTTTAGCTATGTATATATCAGTCTGATCCATATTAATTTGAGTGCATAAGATTTTCCATATTTGACAATTACTGAGCAATAAAGAGTAACTTAATATTGTTTAAAAGTATATCTACATAAACAGTGATATCTGATCTGTCAGTTTTCTTAATAAAATGATATGGCAATAGTATCAGCTTTATAGGTTTTTGAGACTTAAATGAGATTACACATGAAAAACATTGTATTCCACCCTGAGCTCAGGGTACATGTTACACAAATGAGAGCTTGATATTTGCACAGGAGCAAGCTGCCTGGTTCTGGAATCTAGTTCCATTCCTCCATTACTAGCTGGATTACTCTGAGAAAATTATTTATCTTTTCCTTGATTAGGTTTCCCCAGTGATCTAAAAGTAATAACTATCTTACAGTGGTGCTGAGGATGAATGCGATAGGGCATGTAAATCAAGTAGCACACAGATGGCACGTGTGAAAACTCTACTCAAATTAAAGTGCCTTATCCTTGAAAGATATTATCTTAGTTACAGGGTCTTCACCACCTTTCCATAAAGAAGCTGTTTGATGATGGCTGTCATTGTAGCTATGATTATATTAAGTATTAAACTACATATGCAATTAAATCCCAATTAAAAAAACACATTATATCATATTTTCCTAGTTACATTCTCTTTAAAATTAGCTTATTTGAATTAATAAAATATGTAACTACATTTTGATATGATCCACAACCGAGACCATATTGCATGTACATTATTTTACATTTCTAAATTTATCAATAAGTTATACAAAATAGTATACTTCTTACTTGGATCTCATCACATTTATTAAATTAAGTGTAGGGAGCAAGTTTTGGATTGACAGCCTCATTCATGGAGTCATCAATTCTATGATTTATTTATTAAGCACCTACTATATATAAAGCACTGCTTGAGCAATTCTGGGAATAGAAAATGACTGGGAATGGATTTTGACTTTAACAATAAGAAATCTAAACGAACAATATTTGCAAAATTATCTCAAACTTGTCCCTTAAAAATTTTTCTTTTGTGATAATTACTGCTTTTTTAGGTAGCAGTTAATAATCCAAGTTCTGGAGTAGAACTGCCTGGATTAGTGATTCTTGCCTTTTCCTTTATAAGCTGTGCCTTTGAGCAAATTAATTGGTCCATGCTTCCATTTCACTATCTGTATAAATGGGATACTACTAGTCAGTGTTTAAATAATTAAATGAGCTGATATATGCAAAGTGCTTAGATCTTTTCCTGGCACATAATACACATTTTATACTTTTCAATATTTTAATTATTATTAATATTTCAGATTCAATATCTGTATGCCCAATACTGATATCAAGGGGAATTAATGTGTAATATAAAAAAAATTGGGAGGAGGTTGAGTATTCCATGAGAAAGGTAGTATCTGTGCTTTATTTATTTATTTTTTATTGGAGTATAGTTGCTTTACACTGCTGTGTCAGTTTCTGCTGTACAGCAAAGTGAATCAGCCATACGTATACATATATCCCCTCTTTTTTGGATTTCCTTCCCATTTAGGTCACCATAGAGCACTGAGTAGAGTTCCCTATGCTATACAGTAGGTTCTCATTAGTTATCTATTTTATACATAGTAGTATATATATGTCAATCCCAAAAGAGAAAAACAAATATCATATATTAATGCACATATGTGCTTTAACAGACATATTGATCTAATTACTCAGCCATATCATTTTTACTTTCACTGGAAATACTTTTTATTTCATATGTGGGTAAAGCAAAACTTCTTCACAGTATAGAAAGGGAAGACTTGATTTAACAAAATGTCATGTAACCAAGGATTTTTCTTTAATACCAAGTTCAACATGAACTGACAATAAAGGCTATTTTTCGCTTATAGATTGAAAAACACAATATTGCTTATTTTCCCAAATCTTGAATGAAAACTAATTTAATCCTTACTTTCTTTAAAATATTTAATACTGTACCAGAAATCTAGGTAAAGAATGACAGAGTTCATATTTTCAAATGTGTATTTCTTTCATTATCATCAGAGAGATGCCATTTTGTGACTTTTCTATTTTGCATTTGAAAGGAGACACATTTTATGGCTTGTCCAAGACCTAGGGAGAGAGTTATATTTGATTTTACAGATCACATTCGCTCTTTCATGTTGGCAAAAGCTTCTACCAAAAATTTATATTATTTTGAGCTAAAGGATCTTCAGTGTATCAGTAACAAATTATATACATTAATCTTAGATTATATCTTATTCTTCAGAGACATTATTCTATGTCACTGTACTGTGATAGTGATCTAGTAGCTTCTTGAAGAAAAGATAGCACGTGGAGAAAATTTTATAATTAAGAAATATCTTTCAATGTATAAGACACTTTAAATAGAGTTTTCATGTATAACACTTTATTTTATCTACTGATTTATATTTGCCAAAACAGAGTAATTTCTATTATTTTAGGGATACATTTTGTCTATATTTGAAATTTTTGGATATCAAGTAGAGATATGCATTGCATTTTAGTTTTCTTTTGGAAAATATTCTGACCTACAACTTACAACTGTAAATGGATTGCCAGTGTTTATTATTCAAGTATGATAGACACAGGGAGATCTGTTTCAAATTCTGGTGAATTTGGGTGCTAATGTGAACTTATACGATTCGAACATTTTTAGCTTTTTGTCAGTCCTAATAGGTACATGCTACAGTTTTAGGAAACAAAGCTACTTCAAATCAATCATTGTCAACCCTAGAAAAAATGTGTTGACTTGGTAGTATTTTCTAATAGCCCAGAGATTTTTGAACTTGGTTAGAACCCTGAAGTCTTTCCAGACTTCAGTTCGTATTCTGCCTGGGCCTAGTAGAAAGAAGTTGCACTCCCTGAGGTTGGCTCTGTAGGCCACGGTTTGTATAAAAGTGATGAAATGTACCAAATTCTAACTGGCTGATAGCTAATGATCCCTAACATTGACACATCTTTCAGTTATGCATTTCAAACTACAGATAAGCATATACATAAACAGCACACAGATAATCTCAGTTCATCAGGAAGTTAGTTGTTTAATGACAAACCTATCAGGTTCTTTTACTTAGATGGCTGTGGTTGGTTTGACAGGCTGATTGGTTCCGTTTGTTGGGGCTGGCTAATGTTTTTGTTTCAAAATAGGAGTTGATTTTTACACATGGAAAATATTTTCCTGCCTAAAATTATGACAACTCTGTTTTGTTTTGTTTTTTTTATTGGCCAACCATATTTTGTTCTAAAACTCCGATTGCACTGAGAGATAACAGACCACAGAAGTTAGGAGTCAGGAGCCATGGGTGGGAACTCCAACTCCATTGCTGAACAGTTTCCTTTTGTGGATGATGAGGGTAAGCATACATCTGCTCAAGGGTAACTGTAAGGTGTATTAAGGTAATCTGTGGAAAATGTATAGCCTAGTGCCTGAACATAGTACATGCTCAGAAACATTACAAAAATGTTACAGTTATTATTGTTTTCGTTATCATTTCTTTCTTAGTAGAATTTTGGCTTCGTCTTGGAATATTCTTTAGGTTGTCTCTTGGCGGAGGAGGTTTGGCCTTTATTAGGAGCATCTTCTTATTAATCTGATTAGTATGCACATAAAAATATAGCCTATCTCTTGTTCGAGCATATGACCATTTTGCCACTCACAGAGAGGAGAGCTACCAGGTATATAAATTCAAATACCAATGAAATCCCTCAAAAACACTCCTGAGGAAAATAATATTTACAGATTTGCTTGAGTTATATGCAAGCCATCCACCTCTGTAGAAATCCTCAAATTTATCCCCAATTCAAGCCAAACTCTCCAAAAAAAAAAAAATGTACCTGAAAAACATCATGTAGAACCCAAGCAAAGTGTTCTATTTTTCTTTTTCTTTGAAAGGATGCTAGCAGGTTATTTTTAGAGATGTTTTAAATAATACCCTTATGAAACATGTGGCCATATAAACTGTACGAATATTACTGAGGGATAGGCCATTATTTTATGAGGTTTCCTGTTTGAAGACTCACAGGAATACTTTCTGCTCTCAATACTAGGAGTAGAAGTGTATTTCTTGAACAACTGGCTTATTTTTATATTTTAGGCATCATTAATGTAAATGATCATGTTTATATCCTCACACTGGCAACTAGAATACTTACCATGAAATTTATGATGCACCATTAGAAATATATAGGACTTCAGGGGATAACATTTTTGAAATGGTCTAATTCTTTCCATCTTACCTTTACATATCTATATTTTTATCTCAAACTTCCATTTTCTATGCTATTTTAAAACTGTTTTTTTACTTAATAACTTTGAAGAATCTATTTTTTCATGAAATAACTCTGAGGAACACTTTGTGATGTGAAGTCACCCTTATGAATCTCCCATATACAAAAGACTGAATGCTTCTTTTTGCTCCTGCAATAATTAGTTCACAAGATGAGTTGCTGAGTTTCAGAACTCTAGAATACTGTACCTGCCACTATTCCGATGATAGGTACAAGAACTACAAACACAAGGAGATAAAGGGCAATCAGTGCAGCTTTGAAAGACTTCATTTTCTCTTGAAGAGTTGGGCCATTTTTAGGATCTGAAAAACAAAAGCCCAACCTACTGTTAGAAAACTTACTCTTCTTACTTAAAATTTTTGAAATCTCCAATTATATTGCTAGTATCAAACCTATTGGAATAAAAAGGGAACAAAAAATAGGTTCTTATTTATTCAGTAGAAAGCAAAAGGGACAGTCACAGAAGCCAATACAGGCATCAGTATGGACATTTGATTGTCTTATCCATTAACTAAACATCCAGGACAAAGTTACTATTCTCTGCAAGTTGTACTTGTCTCATTTGGGGGCACTAGCTGGAAAACTTTAGTATTGATACCATACCAACATACATGCAAACCTAAATTTCATTCTTCTGTTTCACATGGGAATATATTCTGGGTGAAAATAAAATTCTTCATGCAACTATGTAATTATACCATTTTTTCAGATTTTAAGTGAGATAAAAGAAACATTATTGTCAATGATAATTATGCAAATTGTCTCTCCTAATTCCATCTCAATAGTTTTGTATTTGGATGCTTCTTATGATTTGAATATAATGTGAAAAAAATGAAATAAAATGACTCACATTTTGATTAAACTTTGGAATGGATCAATGAAGCCCATTCTCTGGATATTTCAGAACATAGTAATATTTTAGTATTATTTGTTTATATGGAACACCAATTCACATAATGGGATGCTAATTGTAGAAAAGATAACTCAATGTACAGGGGAAACTTACTAGCAAAGGAAGACATTTCTCTGATTAAGTGAATACAAATTTCTTTCCTATGGCCATTGTTTTTATTGTTTAATAAAAAAGAAGGAAATTTTGTTTTCAGGCTGTAAACTCCTAAATTAAAACAAAAGTTTAGACATTGTTCAATAATGTTCTATGAGGGATTGAACAAAAAAGGAGAAAAGAATTAAGAGAAGAAAACAATAAAGAAAAGGGGGAAAATTGAAGGAAAAAAGAGAAGGAGTGGGGCTTCCCTGGTGGTGCAGTGGTTGAGAGTCTGCCTGCCAATGCAGGGGACATGGGTTCAAGCCCTGGTCCAGGAGGATCCCACGTGCCACAGAGCAACTAAGCCTGTGGGCCACAACTACTGAGCCTGCGAGCCACAACTACTAAAGCCTGCATGCCTAGAGCCCATGCTCCACAACAAGAGAAGCCACCACAATGAGAAGCCTGTGCACCACATCAAAGAGTGGCCCCTGCTCGCCGCAACTGGAGAAAGCCCACGCGCAACAAGGAAGACCCAACACAGCCAAAAATGGATGAATAAATAAATAAAAAATAGATAAAAATAAATAAATAAATAAATTTTTTTAAAAGAGAAGAAGCAACCACAATATAAGCAAGATGGGATATTCCATCTGTCAGGTGACTAAATTTGAAATCCAACCAGGCAGATGGAATATACAAATTCAGGGTTAGTCTCAAGACCATAATTTTACATAGTGTCACTAACTCTAAGGACAATCTCCACGAGCACCCCACTCTTATTCTACTTACTCGGAGGAAGCAAAGCGGTCATTGAGTGAGCATCAAACTTCACAGATTCTGTACAGTTATTAGTGTCCTCCTGTTGATTGAGAAAGCTCTCCCACGGTTCCATACTTCTATCAAACACGTGGAAAAATATGATAATTACACATGGAGTTGCTAGGGCCCTTTGGCAAAAAGTTTCAAATTGAAATTTATAATTAAAATCCAATTTTAGCAAGGGAACAAGTATAATTAGTTAGTTAAATTTACATATCTGGGCTTCCCTGGTGGCGCAGTGGTTGAGAGTCCGCCTGCCGATGCAGGGGACACGGGTTCGTGCCCCGGTCCGGGAAGATCCCCCATGCCACGGAGCGGCTGGGCCCGTGAGCCATGGCCGCTGGGCCTGCGCGTCCGGAGCCTGTGCTCCGCAATGGGAGAGGCCACAACAGTGAGAGGCCTGCGTACAGCCACAAAAAAAAAACAAACAAAAAAAAACAATTACCTATCTGCCCTATATAGCAACATATTATACTTACCCATAAGTTTTAATTTTAACATTAAAAGACAGATTTACATGAACCCACTCATGTATCTTTCTGTGTACAAATGTGTACCTGTGATTGTAGATGTGTGTTTTTTTAGAGTGAGAGGTAACTTTTCTCTCTTAGCTAAAAAACAAAAAAAACCCAACAGGCAGAAAACAACCATTTAACTGAAAAGAAAAAAAGAATTTCCCTTAGAACAAACAGTAGCTGAAAAGTTGAAGGAAATATTTCCTGTGATCTTTTATCAGAGGTTCCAGATAGAGCAAACAGTTTTGCAAAATTTGGAACAAATGTTTCCTGTAATCTTTTATCAGAGCTTCATGAGCCAAGTTTTCTTTTGCCAAAGCATCAGCTTTATTCCTTTAGAAAGATTTAACAAAGTCTAGTCACAAGATTAGGAGCCAGCTTTTTTCTTTTCCTTTGTCTTTCTTTCCTTCCCTTAGCTTCCCTTCCATTCCCTTCCCTTTCCTTTCTCTTCCCTTCCCTTCCCTTCCTTTCTTTTCCTTTTTGTTTTTTTTCTTTTCTTTCTCACATATTTTTCTTTCAGGGCTTCCTTCACTATATACATTGGCAGCATCTCAAATATGTGCTTGTATCTTTTTAAGCACAATCTATTATATTTTATCACCCAGTCTATGTCTCTTTAAGGTGCAAAAGAATCATCTGAAGGGCTTCCTTTAAAACACATTGAAGGGCCCCACCCCCAGAGTTTCTGATATTTAGGGTAAGGGTAAAGAATTTGCAATCCCAACAAGTTTTCTAGTGACGCAGTTGCTGCCCACCTGAGGACTGCATTTTAAGAACATTTGCCATGAAGAGAAATTGTATGACTTTTTCTTGGAAACAGTTCAGTTCATTTGATTGATAAATTTAGCCTAAAGCCAACATCTTCTGATCATTATTTATTTTCTCTAATGATGAGTTATGGATTTAGCACAGCTGAAGTTGCAACTGAGTGCACTGGCAGCTCCAGGACATCAAACTCATGTCTCCTCCAGAAACTGAAGGACAATCATTCATATGCAAACGTTATCCTACTTTGGGAAGAGGTATTGACAAGTAAGGATGTGACTCAACTCCTGTCAATGTATTTTTAAAAATATTACCAAGGAGATTCTTTATTTTGCAGTTTGTACCTGTATCATTCCGTAACCTGGTCTTAGTTTTTTGTAAATGCTATTGATCTGACCAAGGAGTGTGTTCTTTAAATGCTTCAGCCACTCTGCAGGAAGCAGGCAGAGGGGGAATTTATAGAACCTACATTCTCTTTTCTTAGGCAGAGGTGAAGCTAAATAAACGATTATCTGGGAACATTCACTATTACAGGAAACCAAATTGATTAATTCAGGTCCAGACTCTCCTGCCATTTCCCCGCTTTTAATTCACTCTATTATTTGATTTGGATGACAGTTTTTTACTTGCCATGGAAAACAAATGAACAAACAAATAAATTTTTAAAATGAGACGACAAAACTTAGCTAAATGCATTTTAAAACTACAGTTCAAAGCAATTGGGGGACCTGCCTGGTGGTGCAGTGGTTAAGAATCCACCTACCAATGCAGGGGCAGGGGTTTGAGCCCTGGTCCAGGAAGATCCCACATGCCGTGGAGCAGCTAAGCCCGTGTGCCACAACTACTGAGTCTGCGATCTAAAGCCCGCAAGCCACAACTACTGAGCTGGCGCTCTAGAGCCTGTGCACCACAACTACTGAAGCCCGCGTGCCTAGAGCCCACACTGCGCAACAAGAGAAGCCACCGCAATGCGAAGCCCACGCACCACAACACAGAGTAGCCCCCGCTCCCCGCAACTAGAGAAAGCCCGAGAGTAGCAATGAAGACCCAACGCAGCCAAAAAAAAAAAAAAAAAGCAGTTAGGACTGTGGCAAAGCTTTTAAACTTTGAACTCAGGCTATAAAGGATGGGCTCACAAAGTATATACATTTAGACACCCCTGCTATGTACCTAGAAATCTTTTCCTGTCAGTCTGTCTACCAGCCCCTTCTCCACGTGTTTGACTATGGTTTTGGCTCTAATAGTTGAGATATTATGACTCCATTTTCACCTATATACAAAGGAAACATCCTTGGGACTTCCCTGGCGATCCAGTGGTTAAGAATCTGCCTTCCAATGCAGGGGACGTGGGTTCGATCCCTGGTCGGGGAACTAAGATCCCACATGCCGCAGAGCAACTAAGCAGGCTTCTCATTGCAGTGGCTTCTCTTATTATGGAGCGCAGGCTCCAGTAGTTGCAGCACGTGGGCTCAGTAGTTGCGGCAGGCGGGCTCTAGCTTGCGCGGGCCTCAGTAGTTGCGGCTTGCGGGCTCTTGAGCGCAGGCTCAGTAGTTGTGGTGCATGGGCTTAGTTACTCTGCGGCATGTGGGATCTTCCTGGACCAGGGATTGAACCTGTGTCCCGTGCATTGGCAGGTGGATTCTTAACCACTGCACCACCAGGGAAGTTCTCAATTTTGTTTTTCTTTAGGCCTCTACACTTTGATCTATCTTTTATGGGCTTTAGATGAAAATATACATCTTTTACATTACTGTATTTCAAACTGTGATTTCTTTGGGTAGATTTATTAAAACTGAAAAAGAAAACCCTCTAATAAATGTCTACAAGTGGATTAGACTAAATGACCATATCTGGGAATTCGCTGGTTAGGACTCCACACTTCCACTCCAGAGGGCATGGGTTCGATCCCTGGTCAGGGAACTAAGATCCCACATGCTGGGTGGTGCAGCCAACAAATAAATAAATAAATATCTGGGCTATAGAGGTATAGAGGGCTGAAAGGGAGATGAACACTAAAATCTGTTGAGTGGCATGATGAATGAAAAATATTTCCCTTTGGCTACTCTGGGTGCACCATGAGTTTTGCTTGTTTTCTGGAGCAGTGTATAACAAGGGTTAATCATGATCTGTATGAAATATCAGTATACTTTTTTCCACTAAAAAAATAGATTAATTTAATCATAGATGACGTTGTCATAAGATTGCTGGCATTTTCTGTTATTTCTTTCTTTTGTTCTTAGTATCCATACTCGCTGAGAATCTCATCTATTTACATGGCAGAACCACTACCTGCATCCTGACCAGGCCAATATATCCAGCTCAGATCTCATGTCTCAGAATCAGATTTTTTTTTTTATTAATACAGCTAGCTACAATGGTGTACTTTCCACATCAACCTAACTTTTCTTTTTCCAGGATTTTTAATGTTGGCATGCCACCCATTTATATCATCTGTTTATTATTATAATCATTCATTACTTTTTTTTTTACTGTTTTTTGTGTAGCAAGGCATACATGACATAATCAGGTGTATGGCAATACAGAATTAATATGGCAGTGCTAGAAAAGCATGGTCATTCAAACCAGAGGCCAGGACTTTATTCTAGATCATTCTCACCCAAAGACACATATCTGGTAGCACAGCAACTCCTGACTTCCTCAAAGCCATTCCTTCCACTCGATCCCAATTTTTAGATTTCAGTTCATTTTTATCTACCCAGCCAGGCATCTTAGATAGTAGCAGTGGGGTAGGCAAATGAGGGGCGAATCTAAGAGGCATTAAGGAGGAGGAGGAAATTCAAAAGAACTGATGAACAAGCATCAAAATGTAGCACTTTAACAAAGACTAGGAGAAAAAAATCAAACAGTAGAAATTATTTTTCAGGAAAAAAATATGGTAGATATAAACAAACATATTTAGTAGGCTAGTAAAGAAAGAATGGCAGTACTAAAAATAAGGAAGAAACTCTGACACTATGGTAGAACAGGAAGTCAGGGTCAGGGAAAAAAAAAAAGAATGTCAAGACATGCAGGTCACCCATAACCTGCCACATGGAATTTGAGCTGTATTACTCATATGGTAGAGGCAGAAGCAGATGCTGAGAGATCAAGAAGCAGTAAATGTATAAAAATGAAATGCCTTGAGTGTATACTGGAAATCTAGTCATGTTCATGCTTTTCTGTTGAGAAGAGATGCTGAAGATAGTACTGAGGTAGTACGTTGAGGACAGGGTTACTTTTTCCTGCTTGTTCTTCTCATCTCCCAAACTACTGACACTGAAGCGTGCCTGGTCTCAGTTCTTGTCCTCTTTTTATCTTTATTCACTCCCTCGGTAAGCTCACTAGTCTCATCGCTTTAGATACAATCTATACGGCTGATGACTCTCCATCTTCATCTCTCACCCATGCCACTCCTTTTAACTCCAGACCTGGATATGCATCTCCCTAACAACACCACCATCTGGATTTCCAACATGACCCAAACCTAGGGGTCTCCTTGTCACCCACTTTCTGTCATCCTCCACATCCAATCTACCATCAGATCTTGCTGGTCTGATTTCAAACCCTAAGCAGAAACTGACTGCTTCTGGTCACCTCCCCTCCTGCCATCCTGGATTGAGCCCCATCATCTTTCTCACCTGGATGATTTTAATAGCTCCCTATGTGGTCTCTCAGCTTCATTCAGTTCCCTCCATTTTACTTTCCACACAGCCTCTAGAATGTTCCTCTGAAAAAAGTAAGTCAGATCATATCACTCCTCTGCTCAAAACATGTGAACACTCTCCCATCTCGCGT